CAAGCTATTTTGAACATGATATGTAAATTTCAATAATGAATAAACGAGTGAACGGCAAGCAATCAAACATAATACAAAATAAAGCAGAAACAACAAAAAACAGATTCAAGGAAAATGTTGCCTATCATGAAATTAGACTTTAATCGCTTTCAAAACCATAAAAATCCTTTTCACTATTATCGTCATTGAATACGAGAATATCGTCATCACTACTGTTTCCGTCATCGCTAGTATCACCTTCGAATAATGCGTCGTCTTCTGTTCCATCAAAAGCATTACTGATTCCGTACTTCTTAAAGGACTTAGCAATTACTTCAGCCTTTACGTCCTTCCAAGATCTTTTTACTCACTCGCACACTTGTGAAATAGAGGGCCGCTTCATTCTACCTGAGGGTGTGGGGGCGTGATGTGGCTCTCCTATAGACTTGTTCCATCGTTCTCGCACTTTTTCCTTAAATGTCTTAGGGCCCACCAGCGGCCGAGCGGTAAAGTCGCTGAACACTGGTAGTTCGGTCCGAGGTTCGAATCCCGCAAACGGGCTGGCTGCATGGGTGTTTTCGTGGTTTTCCCCATGTGTAACGTGTATACGAGCCAGTTTCCCTTAGAAAGTCCTCCACAAAGGCATCCCTCCCCTTAGGCAGATAGCCCTAGTGTGCTTTGCCTTAATAAAATACACCAATACACCTTAAATGTCTTATTCACAGATACATCTAAAGGCTGGCTAGTCAGTCCACCAAGAATGACAGCTATCTGGGTTTTTAATTCTCTCGCTTTATTCTTTATGGTTTCAGTTCTATGGGCGCTAAACCGATCCAAAACCAAAGGAGAGGGTTTTCTTAAGAGTCCACCAGGTCGCCCCGCCCATACATTCTGTAACCACAGTTTCATTCCAGCTTCGTCCATCCAGCCTTTCGGATGAACATGAACAATTAAACCTGTTGGAAGTTTTTCTTTTGAATATGAAAAACGGCGGTAGTTTGGACCAACACGTGTGTCGATACCGATACAGACACGTGTGTCGGCTGAGTCAGAAAATGTCTATGTAAAGAAGGAAAGGCTTCATAGACGTAATGTGACTGTCGAACTTGTTCGAACTTCGACATCAGCTTCGAGCTTTGGCGCTTTTTGGTGACAGATATTTCACGCATGCGCAAAATAATTATGGCAGATGTAGAAAAAGTTATGTTGTCTAGACCTTTAACCGGGTTAAAATTAGCATTCAGTATTGAAAGTTAACTTATATCCTTCACGTATAAGACGCAGGTAACTTTTTTGAGACCAAATTTAGTAAAAAAAAGTGTGTCTTATATGCCGTCAAATACGTGGCAGTGGCCACACGTTGAAAGCCACTGAACACTAGAAGTTCAGTCCGAGATTCAAGTCCTGGAGAATGGGCTGGCTGCATGGCCGTTTTCACGGTTTTCCCCATGTGTAACATGGGTACGAGCCAAGTTCTGTTTACAATGTCCTCCGCGAAGTGTCCTTCCCTTTCCATGTAGTGCCTAACAGCAGAGCACGTAATAAATAAATAATTATAGTCCTTAACAATGTTATTTGTCCTTATAGGCAAACAGTGCTAGCATAATTTGGCATAATCATGCAATCTAATTATCTATATTATCTTATTTTCATATTTTACCGAGAGACTAAAATTAATTTTTGGCATGTTCTTTAAAAAAAAAAAAAATTAAGAATGAAATTGTCATCACTGTGGTGAAGTAATAATGAGAAATACTGTTTTGATAACATTTGTAATATCCCGGTAGTCCTCGCAGTCCTGTGCATAATGAAAATGCGAGCTAAAATCCTGTAAAAATGACCTGCATAACAGCATCTATATTTTGACAGGTTAACTTATCTGTTTATGACAATTCCAGTCTTTCTACACATGTATAAATAAAAGTTGGAATATTTGGATTATGACCAAGGCACGGAGGATTGTATGCCCAAGGGAGAAAGGGCTTCCTTGGAAATTGGTTGGTATTCTTGTTACATATGACGTCACGTGCAAGCAGTTAGTTCACCGAAATGTGAATTGAATGATATTAGAAACTGGCTATCAGTGTTCATCGATTTTACCACTTGACCTGTTGTGGGTCTGTATAAATAAATAAATAAAGTTATTCAATCCACTTGAAATTTTATGATATTAGTATTAATTTCACCAATTTTTCAATGTGATCAAAAATATGTTTTTTCTGTATATTTTCCATTTTTATTGTAATTTTTGTATTTAATACGGATGTCTGAAACATGCAAAATGCAATGCAGTACAATGAAAATAAAATCAAATTTAAAAAAAAACTAAAGGAGGGCTAAGCTTTAATCACAAAAATGCAAGAAAAAGTAATGAACAGTAATGTAGTTGAAAGGTGAAATACAATACAGTGAGGGAAAAATAAATTAATTAAAAACAAAAACTAAATAAGAATAATAATGAAAAAGGAAAACTAAGGTAATGTCACAAGTACAAGAGGATTGGTTTAATATGTAAATATAAGCTGTTACACACTGTTTGTAACAAAATGAATGCGAGTTGCCGATTTATGCGGGAAACAAATGATTAAGCATCATTTTTGAGTATAAATTAAAATTGTCAATCAATACATGTGATTCTAAACTAAATTCAGTTTGAAAACAAACAAAAACTGATTAGACTATGTATTGATTTTAGGCTTACCTAGGAAGTATTTGCCTCTAAGGCGTATTTCCATTATAATGCAATTTTAAAAGTTAATGTTCTATCGTTCAACAGTTACTTCAGCTATGAAATTTCAGCATCATACGTTTCCCTAGTTTAGGGGAAAGAGAAAAATTCCTTTGTATTCCCTAGCCTCTTATCTGAAAATTAACAAAGGCTACCCTTAAAGGAAGGTTTCAAAATAGAAGTTTTCCTTTACAGTGGCAGCTAAAAGGGGTGGAAATGCAGTCAGATTACCCATCCTTTTAAGTGAAACCTTCCCAAACTTTTAAGTTTGTCTTAAACTAGTCTTTTAAAGATTAATGTTAATAGAAGATGTGAAAGTGAGAAGAAATGTTTGTGCTTGAAGTATGGTGGGATTTGGGCAGAAAAGCATGCTGTGAAGATTTGCTGACAACTGCGAGACAGGACAACAATTTCTTAAAGGGTATCATAGTAAGAGACGAGAGACCTTTGTCTATAATATTGCCCAAAACAAAAAGATGATAAAGTGTGCAGTGAAAAAGAGAGTCTTCTCTCTTGTCCCCCCCCCAAAAAAAAAGGCATGATATTAGAAACTAAAAGATGATGTTGATCGTATTTTTTATTAAAAAGGACTTCTTCATTATGAATTTGTCCTTGAAAATCAATCAGTTATTCATTATTTTACAGTTTGCTTTTATTCGATTAAGAAATAGAATAAGCTGAGTTAGGAAGGAGCTTTTTGATTCAGGGCAGTGGTATCTTTTGCACATTAATGCTAGGCCCCATATGACATTGTCTGTACAACAGTATATTGAAAGCATTCAGTTGCAGTGGTTCATCACCCACCATATTCTTCCGAGTAATGACAATCTGCCCCCCCTCCCTTAAGCTTAAGATGGTCATAAAATGACAGATTTTAAAACATCTTTGAAATTAAATCAAATATTATATGTATTTTATGAACAGTTAATTCCAACACCTATGAACAGTATTTCAATAACCTTAAACGTTGGAAAAATTGTATAATCTCTATTGACAATTATTTTGAAGGAGGTGAATTAATTTGAAAGTTATTAATCTTTTTTTTTATTATTTACTTATAAGAAACTAACCTGTTACTTTATGAGCATATGATGTATTTAAATTGAAATTAAATGTCAGCTCACTGATACATGTCAAAGTTGTTGACTTCTGCCGTAAACTGTTGCGATTGGGTCACCAGTACGGAGCAGTAAAATAAATTAAAATGAAAACAAAGCACACCAGTGTCTGTCTATGCTCTTGGTCACTGGAGATAAGTAAAAGGACACCAATATGAAACAATGAAATGAATTCTGGTAGATGTTTAAAATAAAATTTGTGTGGTTTGCTCCCTGTGACTGATAACTACTGGCAGTTAATAAGATCACTGGTATTGAACAATGCAGTAAAGCTGAGTAGAATGTTAAATGAAATCACAGGACTCTGCTAATTGTAGTTGAGGGTTACCAGTGAACATCAATTGCAGTATCTCCAGTGATTGTCAAGTCTGTTAGTCATTGGTGACCTACAATTTTTTTACTACCATTGTAAGGCAGCGTAGTATTGTTACAGGAGTAGTATGTGTCAGAGCAAGTGGACAAATACTTGGTAGCATATTGTAACTTCTGTAATTTTAAGTTTTTAAGACTCATAATGATGTGTCTAATGCAAAAAAATACCGAATTTCATTTGGAAGTACAATTATTGCTTAGTTTTTTTCAATAAAAATATTGGATACTTTTATAATAGCTTACATAAAGATTAAGTATACTTGAGGTCAAACTTAGGTCCACTGTTTTTATTGTTGCTTCCATAGAAAATCATGGTTCTGACATAACAAATTTAAACTTTCAGTTTTCTTGATTTTGCTTTTATGTAACTCAAAAATAAAGAGAGTTTGCTTTAGGATAAAATTTTGTCTTCCAAGAAAGTGGTAACACTTTTCTTGTATAATTAATTACATGTTGCGCTCTCATGTGCCATTTTTTGTTAAGTTTAAAATAGTAAGTCTACCAGAAGTATGCAAGGAATCGTAAGTTAGCATTTTAAATTTTTGTGTATTTTATGATTGTTGTCAATATGTGAAAAACTAACCACTATGCTTATTCCATAGAGAAGTCTTTCTGCTTTATTTTATAGTTCTCAAACTTATTTTAGACATGAAAAGTTTTATGAACCGTATGTTAGCAAATGAGTGCATGTTACTTGTTGATATATATTAAAGGAATAAGTTTTATTATTATTAAAGGCATAAGTTTAAAGTTTATTAAAGGAATAAGTTATTAATAATAGACTCATAATTGTTTCTTTTAAGGGGGGCAGATGGTGCCTCAGGGAGAGCAAGAGTTGGCAACCAAGATGCTGCAAATACAATCTAAAAGGTTTTATCTGGATGTTAAACAAAATAGAAGAGGACGTTTTATTAAAGTAGCAGAGGTAATAGTTAAAAAATATTAATTGTAACATTTTGTGTGAGTATTTAATGTTCAAAAATGATGTCAAAATATTTTCATAAAGTATGATTTTAAAGATGTTGTTACAGGCAATAAACAAGACTTTACATTGTGCCACAGTTAAAATTAATGTGATACAGTAGTAACTGATTTGATTTGGAAATATTTGGTAAAAGAAGGAATTTGGTATTACTGTAGAAGATGTTAGGGAAAACCGTATACATGAACTTGAAAGGAGGCCAAAAGACAACATGTTGTTGTACATACAGTCTTTTCTGAAACAGACCAGTATTCATCTCAGAGTGAAAAGTGTCTGTGAGACTGATCTTCACAAAGGGGTTAGGAGAATGTAGTCGAGTATCAGAATGTATTGACGATACTGTCTTGACTTGTTGCTAAATATGATTCCCATTTTTGTAGTTACAGAGTTTATTGAATAAGGCCAAGTTATTTTGAATTTTTTCACTGTTAAGTTGGCATAAGATGCTCAGATTCAAATAATTTATTTAATTTAAATATATAATAATTGTCAATTCTTCATTTCAGAAATTCAATCTTATATCATTTTCTTTGCTAAGAGTTATAATGATTTTTAAACCTAGTTTTATGTTCTTAATTTATAATACAAGGTGGATAATTTTTGATTACCTATTTTAAAAATAGCTATAAAAACAACACAGCTCCACATATTTGTTTTAACACTTATCCATTTACATATGTGCTTTACTATGTAAATTTTACCACTTCACTCCAAAATTGATGCAATCTGGCAAATAACTTGCCAGACATTGTTTGGCTAGCCATATATTATGGATACTGATGACATGATCAAGCACATTGGAGCTAAAATTCACAGTTTCTTCCCTGATTCATTCCTTCAGCTTTTCTACACTTATTGGCAACTAAACTTTCCTTACAGTCCAGAGAGGAGAGGCAGGGTGATTTATCTTTGCCTGATAACTTTGTAGAGTGCCTCTGAAAATTGTATAGCATGCCAAACAAATTTAGTGATGTAATCTGTTTGTGTTTGATGATATTCAAAGTGACATGTGTATAAATGTATCAGCCTCATTTAAATATACGTAACTGGTTACTGTGTGTATTGTTTGAAACTTGTGTGTAAAATATGCAAGGGAAAGTTAGCAAGTTTGTCATATCTTTCCATTCAATCAACTTAAATTTTCCAGTCTCACATTACTACAAACAGCAGAAATATAAAGATAAATGCAAATATTTAGATCTGATAGAGGTAGTCTTAAAAAATCATTTAATTTCATAATAACTAATTTTAATTTAATATTATAATTCCATACTGCATTATCAAATTACCCTGTATAAAAAAATATGAAATGCATTTTCAAAGTAAAACTTTAGTTTTTATTTCACTTCAAATACTCTTTATATACACTTCAAATACTCTGTATAGGTGTTGGAAGCAGGGTTGTAGAGTCGGTAGCAAAAATTGACTGACTCCTGGAATTTTAACGACTCCCACTGGACTCGGACTCCCTCATATATATAAACATTTACACATTGGTTACAGCTTATTTTTTTAATATAAAAGAAGTAATAGATGCTACAAAAAAAAATTGATGGCATAGCAAATTATTTATATTAATTAGTATTTATTATGAAATGGAAAAACTGGCATTAGTTATTTCTAAGAAACAGTATATCTTCGGCAAGATTTTCTTTGTTGGAGGGCCATAGATCTGATTTGATAAACTTCAGAGCTGAGAAGAGTCTTTCCACATTAACTTGAGTAGGAGGCTATTACTGTTAGGGCTACTTCTTTAACTTTTCAGGATAGATTTTTATAAGTTCTAAAAGAGGTGTCTTGCAACCATAATCATATTTCTCTATTTCTTCAAAGGCCTGTAGAAATCTTGTTTGTATTTTTTCATTTTTATATTTAAAGGCTCTTGTTTTGTTATATTCATTCGCTTTGCCGCTTAGCCTTTTCAATATTATCCAAAAATATTTCTCAAAATCTTATTCATCAGTGGAAAAACATGATAGAGACTCAGTTGCAATGTCTGCAGCTTGACTGTCCTGATTCGAATTCTCCAGTTGTTCTGAGAATAATTTCATTCTTAATGAAAGTTCATAGATGACTTTCTTTGCCTTTTTAATTTGTTCGTCATCCAAGAAAATTTGGTGTTTCGAATCTACACATGTTGAACCTAGCAAGATCTCATTGTCTAGCAAACTAGTTTCTCTTTTCTTCATAGAAGAAAGGATTCCTTCTGCTATAAACCCTCATTTCAGAAAGAACAAACGTCCCATTCTCGCCTCCTGTCAATTCTTCAGATTAGGGCTTTTTTGTGGCTGTATACGGTATAGAAAGAAGTTTCCAACTCTGCAAGATCATTCCACAGTTTTTCTGTTAATGAAACATTAGGGTTATCTACATCTCCTAAAAAGTTCTTAGTTCTAAAAAACCTCTTTATCATCAAATATGTACTTTCTTATCATATTGTTTCATCAATAATTGCTCCTTTTCTTGCTCGCTTCTTAAGAATGGCATAAATTTTAGTTGTTGCTGTTATTGTTGTTTACCTAAATTTATCAGTGAGATTTGTAACTAAATGAATCAGTTTAATCACTAATAGCAAATATCACTCCCATCCTCCTCCCTTATATTTATTTATTAATAGGTCAGTAAAATAGAAAATAACTCAGCTTGTCATTAATTTTTTCAATTCATTTTAATTTCATTTCAAATTCAAACTGTCCAACGAAAACCAGAGTTGGAGTTTACCTATTTTTAGCAACTCCAGCTCTGATTCCTTTTGCTCCAAAATCTGTCCAATTCCGACTCCACAGCCCTGGTTAGAAGAACTCGCAATATATTAATAAGTTCAAGTTGTTCCTACTACCATATCACTCAACAAACAACATTCAAAAGCAAATAGTCACAAGACAACTGGAAAAATGCATGCAGACAAGCCACCAGATGAAACCTGTGGCATTAAATAGTAAAACAATCTCTACTGTTGATTATGGGGTTTGGGATGAACTTAATTATGGCAAAGCACACGAGAGCTATCTGCCTAAGGCAGTGGGATGCCTTTGTGGAGGAATTTCTAGGGAAAAGCGACTCATCCACATTGCACATGTAAACTATTTTTTTTTTTTTTTAAAGAGCCTGAAGTATTTTATGATATTTATTATAAACTGTAATTTGATTGTTTTTCTTCTAATATTTGTAAGTCTAATCTCTGTATAGTTTGTACCTTTTAAAAATTACTGTCACACTGATTTGTTTGTTAAGTCATGATCTTATTGTAAAAATGATTGTTTGAATTTATCCCTTTGTGTTATTGACCCTTCAGGCGGTTGTGAGATTAAGCAATCTTTTTTTCCAAATACATGCAACATCTATATGTCATAAATCTGTAATGCAAGTTGCGTTTGTATGTGCCCACCGCAGTGTGTAACTGGAATGTAAGCTGAGCTCGTTGATGACTGTAGAAAGATTCTGTTTTTATACCTTAATTTGTGTATATATTTGTGCAGGGTTCATACGTTCCTTAAAAGTCCTTAATTTCAATCAAATCCAACGAAAGCTCCTTAATTGTACTGAACTGACATTTCTATCTGTGTTTTACGACTGCCTTTTTGGAAGTGGATTAACATTTTGGAGGAGTATTTTTTAGCGATGCCTTGACAGATATGTATTTCATGAGGTAACGTTTGAATTCTTTCTTACTCCTTAATGGTGGATACTAAACTTCAGGATAACAGGAGACCCTTCATCAACTGAAAGATTAACATTTCAGGGGTTTCTTTTTTTCATAAATGAAGCATTCATAAAATATTACATCAAAAACAACTGTTCTCCCTTTGGGATATAAATTCTTTTATTTTGCGGCCCTAAATAGGGCAATTTCAAGTTCAGTTTGCAAACAAAATTTTTTATTTGAAGATTTATGAAATTTTGACAATTTTTTCAAAAACATTTTAATTATTTTGCATTGATGAATATCATAATAACATCTATAAATATCATAAAAATAATTATATTCAAATTATTTAAGAAATAACATTAAAATAAAATATTTTTATTTTCTCTTCCATATTTTAGCGACACATTACTTCTCATTTTTGTAACTTAAAAAAAATGTTTTGATTCTGAAAAATGAGCAAATTAATAAATGCTGTAAAGCACAGTTTCTGAAACAGCTCTATTTTTAAATTAGTTCCATTTGTTTTCTTGTATGTTTTATTATAAGTTTTTTTCCTTGGTGTAATTGTTTCAGAATATTTAAATTTGTATCAGTTTTCTGTTGAAAATTCGCTTTACACTTGTCATGTATCTGGCAGCGGTGAGCCAGCCAATCAGTTGCCTGGCAGAGCCCAGCAAGTGAGAGAGGCCAGTTGCATGTTAGCCTCAGAGGAGGCAGGTTGTAGGTTAATTATGTTGTAGGAGCGAGGTAGTGCTCCGAGTTTGCCTTTATTCTTTAAATGTTAATTTTTTTTCATTATTCTTTGAAAGTTAATTTTTAATAAATGTTGGTGTCGTTTTCCTTATGGTGCCTTATCAATCCGTAAGGTCATTACAGCACGCTCTCGATTTCGAGAACCAGAGCTAACGAAGACGACTGGATTTTGGAGAAAAGGTGAGAAATTTTGTTGTAACTTTTAAGGAAAATTTCTTCTAAATATGTTTAAAGGAGTAGTTAAAAGTGATTTGATTTCGGTGTTGAAGGAACTCGGTGAAGAAGCCGATTCTAGTTTAAAAGTTGTAGAATTAAAAGATAAGCTTTTAAGTTCTAAAGAATATTTGAAAGATAAAGATTTTGTTATTGAATTTCTTAATACTACGGTTGAAGAAAGGAAAAAGTCAGAAGAAATTGTGAAACTTGCGTTTAATGCAAATCGAAAGTAGCAACGAATCTAGTAATAACGTAGAAAATACACTTTCATTAGATAAGCTTTTGAAAGCTGTACAGGCATTATCGATTTCTGTACCTAAAAAGG